GAGTGTTTAAAAACGGACACTGAAACTATGAAGCCTGAAAGAATCAACCAATAGGTAGTTTATCCCAAAACACTTTGACATGATACTATAAAAATAGCATGGATGAAAAACATTGATTTCTAAAGGAGATTTGTTTCCTGATACCTATATCTCTGCTCACAGTGGCATCAATGAACAATACAACCTTCTTAACCTACCGATCCACTTCAGTCATGTCATCATGGACACCAAAACAATGAGTCATGAATGAGTCACGCTCTGGGATTATGTTTTCCTTGCACTCAGTTTTTTTCTGTTGTCATTTCAGGTCTTAAAGGATTTTATCTATTATTTATTTATCAGTTTTTAGAGCAAAATGTCCTTAAAATGGTCTTTTAATCTTTTAACCTATTATAATCATGACATTTTTAGTACTAGTATATTTTTATGCTTGTTGTACCGATATGTTTAATTTATTTTATAGGGTTTCATATTGTTGCATCACTTAGCCTCTTATTTGATTGTATTTTACGTGTTATTATCATACCTTTCACCTCCTTGTATCTCTTAAATGTAATATGTTGCTGGATGTATCTGTAAAGGTCTTAACATCTGATCCGAGGGGAATTTCATGTTGTTTATTTTTAACTTGTGACATTTTGTAAAGCACTTTGAGCTGCACATGCTGTATGAAAAGTGCTGTATAAATGAAGCTTTATTATTATTATTATGTCCTGTCTTTTGCATTCAAATGTTCCCTTCTTTTTACATACTCTATACTTAAGCCTGTCCCCGCAAGTTTGTATGCATTTCTGGATACTTTGTCCTCAAATGACTGAATAGACGTGTGAGCTAACTTTGTGAATGCTGCCAGTATTTCCTTAAGATCCTCCTAAAGTTCTCACAACAACATCATTCAAACTGCAATCGACTTGCCTAGAAGCAAAAACATTGGATATTAAAAACACACATTTGGTAATAAATCTTTCAACTCACCTTGAGTGAGGCGGTCGGATAACACTTCTTCACCAGTTTTACTTTCCACAAAGCATTTGAACCTGTGTGTTGGACACCCAGGGAAGAATTGACTCAACATGGATGAGTTAGCTTGTTGTAACTCAGCCGAGTTATTTTCTCTCTGTCTGCCCTCCCACTCTCTCTTTGCCAAGTGTGTGTGGGGTGTGTGTGTGTGGTGTGTGTGTGTGTGTGTGTGTGTGTGTGTGTGTGTGTGTGTGTGTGTGTGTGTGTGTGTGTGTGTGTGTGTCGCTCAGGAATGTGAAATGTCAGTGGAAGATTTTCTTCTGCCTGCCTGACATCTTCTCAGTTGATTGCAAAACAACTTTCGGCAAAATAGAGGGGAAACTGTCTCTAGTGTCTCTTATAATGATGCCATGAGAATATTGCTGAAGAGACCTCGATGGTCTAGTGCAAGTGAAATGTTTGTGGCTGCAGGAGTCAATACTCTACAAGCTGTTTTAAGAAATATTATGTATAAATGTATTTGCTGGCTGAATGACTCTGATAATGAAATCCTCTTGGCCTTATCGAACATAAGGTTTAGTACACGCTACCAATCGCAGCTGTGGAGACATTGGTATAGTTGTCTCTTAAACTATGAATTATTTTTATGCTGTGTATGTAATTTATTATATGTAATGCCTTGTCTTTTATCTGGACCCTGAGTCTGTAATAAAGTTTTCATTCATTCTAGTGTCAAGACTGTTTTTGATTAATTCTGCGCCGCCATTCATCTGTTAAGGTTTTGAGATGAAGTTTTCCCCTTAACTCAATAAAATGAAGGGACATTAACTTTGAGTGATCGCAAGATAAACAATTGACATCTAAAAAAAGCAACATGTCTGAAAGCTGCAAGTAAATGATAGATGGTGGAATAAAGATAACATGTACATTTACCCCATACTCATATCAATACTTACTGTCCACTTCACAAAAGTGCTGATTGTAGAAAAGTTGGCACCTCCAGATCATCCTAAATAATGAGTGAATGTTTCCTCTGTGTCGTTGCTCATAAAATACCCTGCCGGCAGTCAAGCAGGAGAACATCATCTTTTGAGAATATGGAAGCTGTCTATGTCTCTGCCATTTTCACATTCTCTACCTGAGTTTTTTAAATCTTTTTATTGTATCAGGTATTTACTTCCCTGCAGTCACGTGCCCTTACAGAACCCTTAAGCACCACACTCGATACGGTCATGTGACTGGTCTGACATTAACAAACTTGATGCAGGGGGGCTTATGTTATGTCAAAGTTTGTTTCTGCATCAATTAATGTTACTTTGACATGAGCTCATCTACTCAGTCCCCAACTACACTGAACAAAAATATAAACGCAACACTTTTGTTTTTGCTCCCATTTTTCATGAGATGAACTCAAAGATCTAAAACATTTTCTATAAACACAAAATAACCATTTCTCTCAAATATTGTTCATAAATCTGAAAGAATCTGTGATAGTGCCGAGATAATCCATCCCACCTCACAGGTGTGGCATATCAAGACGCTGATTAGACAGCATGATTATTGCACAGGTGTGCCTTAGGCTGGCCACAATAAAAGGCCACTCTGAAACGTGCAGTTTTGCTTTATTGGGAGGGTCTGGGGGGTCCGAAAACCAGTCAGTATCTGGTGTGAGGGGTAGGGTTAGGGTTAGGGTTAGGGTTAGGGTAATGTTGTGAATTGAGTGGCCTGTGTTTGTCGTCCATTACATACGCCTGCCCATACCATAACCCCACCACCACCACGGGCCACTCGATAATGTTGTGAATCGAGTGTTATTGTCTACGATGCTTAAAGAGGCCCTGTTGTGCTTTTTGGGGTTTAACCTTTCTTTTAGTGTGTTATATATTTAGTTGTTTGTGCATGTACATGGTCTGCAAACGCTAACATCCCTGTGTTCCCTCCAAAGGCAGTTTCTCAACCCTAACCACAGAATATTTTGCAGCAAGTTTCCTACTGTTGATAATGACTTTATTTCTCCGGGTTAAGATCTTTTCACAACACTTGGCAAAACCGCAAGAAAAGGGAAGTGAGACGTGTTGATATATTTGGGTGTACCCTTTGCAACATTATAAGATTGCGTTATTTGTCATGCTCACATTACCTCATTGGTTCATTGGGACATACAGTACAGTGTAGCATCTGGAAATAATTGGAATAAGTTATTTTTCTTGGCATGCTTGGTTTAAAATCTATTTCTGTGTCTGTTTTCCTTCCAGCGCAAACACTGAGAAGACATGGGAACTTCTTTGCTGGATATGTCTTTGTTTTTTATACAAAAGACTGTGTGTGTGTGTGTGTGTGTGTGTGTGTGTGTGTGTGTGTGTGTGTGTGTGTGTGTGTGTGTGTGTGTGTGTGTGTGTGTGTGTGTGTGTGTGTGTGTGTGTGTGCTGCAGATAACTGCAGAAGAATGGATGTGCCAAACCAATTGAAAAAGAAAGGAGGAATTATATGTAATGGCTTCCGTTGCGCTAATTTCAGCCAGTAAATATGAAAAGAGTTGATAAGCAGACATGTGTTGGGCTTGCAGAGTGAGATAGAGACTCATATAGTCTTCAATAAAAGCTATTATTTGTTCCTGAGTAAAAAGCTCAGAAATTGATTTCTGCTTTTACCGTTAAAGGATCTGAAACGCATTATGCAAGAGTGGTATCGATTTTCACTTCACACCCTAAGAAGTACGAAATTGAGCTATGGTTCGAGCTGATACCAAATGGTTAATGATAAACTGTCGACTATGAATCAATATTTTTCAGCACTCAGAAAAACCTTCTCTGCTAAATAACTTAAATGAAAATACTCCAAGCTCTCATCTGTCAAAACCCTGAGTTAACTGGAACACTGATTGTGTATTCGCTGTGTATTTCTAAAACTTTATTTCAAAAGCATAATCTGGAGTTTCCTTACAGTTTAAGGAATAACTGTCTGTGGATTTTATATTCTGAATCCACTTGTCAATACACCAAAGGTTGTCCAGCAGATGGTGATGCAACCTTGTCCTCCATTTTGTGGTTTCCTGCAGATTTCCATAATATTGTTTAAGAGTGTAAATGCACCTTCTTATCATTATCAAAACGTTCATTTGAAAAGGCAAAAACCCTTAACCCTCCTGTTATCCTGGGGTCAATTTGAACCCATTCAATGTTTGACGTATCTAAAAAAATAGTTCACATTATTTGTTTTGCATAGTATTTCATGACTTTTGCTAATTTAGTGAGGACTAATGGGTAAATGCAAATGTATCAATGTAAAAAAAAACGACCCTCTGCTTTAGTTATTGGTGCTTTATCAACATCCTTTAACATTTTATTTCAGTCAGTGAGATTTTATGGTGATTTATATATTTTCCGATAGTCACATAATAGGAATTCTGGATGTATAAAGGGGTCTGTGGGGGGGAAGGTTGGGGTAATGTTTTATTGAAATGGTTATTTAGGTAGTCAACTAAGATACCTAAAGCACCAGAGACATACATGTTGGTTAACATTTGGAATATGATCATTGTCTTGAGTTTTAAACTGCAAATTGAGTCAATCTAAGGATAACAGGAGGGTTCAAATGTATTTCAATAGGCCTTATTTAACAAATTAAATATATGTAATTCATATATTTATTAGAATATTTGACGCATCCATTTGTTTTCAGTTTATTAATATTACATATTTTAATAATACAATTATATTTCAATGTATTTATTATTATATTATATTTATACAAAATATTTTTTTATTTTAATGTATTAATGTTTTGCATTGCATGGATAATTAAAACATTTTTAAAGAGCAACTTCCCTTATAATACAATTAATACCCTTTATTTGTAAAATGAATGCCCTTGTAAGTGAATGGATATAGTGGATTATTCACCTTTCAAAAAGCTGTATAAATCACGTTAATATACTGCATTACATTGAATATTTCCGTAAAGATGTAATTGAATACCTTGATACATTGCTATTAAAAGGTAAATAAGACTAGTTTCCTTCAAATAAACACAGTAACTCATTTTTTTGTAGTTATATTTTATTAATTTTCACCGCACATGTTCAGGGAAACACATGTCAATATGGATTTGTTACATGAATATCTATTGCACTGTAGATAACTGGTTTTTTAAAAATACATGTAATGAGATGGCATTAGACTGGCATGGCACCAATATAAATCTCTCTTTTTTTTCAATAATAGAGTTTGGCATGTTCCTTTAAAATAAGATATATCAAGACACATAATTGCGGGCACACATCATGTACAGTACTCGACACTCAAACACCCCAGAGCAAACAAAACGGCGACCCGCTTCACTCGACGTTGATTCGTTTACATCAGATAGCTTGATCCATTAAATTGGTTTCCTGAAGGCAAATCAAGAGCTTGCTTTGAAGGAGATTAGCCTTTATCGGACCGGCTGACGACGGCGGTTGCGAAGGAGCGATTACCGGATTCCGATAAAAAACGACCGTGAGAATATCCATATCAAAGCAAGGACTTGAACGGGGAGAAAAAAACGGCAACTGTTGGTAAATGCTGTAAATGCTATAAATCTTAATTCCACGCATTAGCTGGAAAAGTGTTGATACTGAAGCAAAGCCTTGTGGTGTTGAGCGGGATGACTTAGGAAGGAGCGGGATGAAGAAAGCCTGATTTCACCTGCCTGCAGCGCCGCTCCTCACGAAGAAATACAATCAGCTCTGCACAGCAACAACGACCTGTTAACACTCGCAAGGGCATCTCTCCCGGTGAGAAAACACACCCTGCAACCAACACTAACATAGACATGCTCTTTTGTACAATATGCATCTGCAAAATTATGTGTAGGCCAACTAAAAGTACTTAGTTAGGGTGAAGTAAAGAACACATTTATGTTTAGGGTTAAGCTGCATTCACATTATACGTGATTTGCTCACCGCTAGGTTTGGCGCCATGCTATGAAAACAGCCATATAAGTTTCTATTGTTACGTCCCCTGCTAACTTGGGTTGTTCACAAAGCTGTCATCTGAGTGGTTGCGCGTCGTAAGGTCAGCGTTGGAATAACATGAACTCGAGCGGTGCACAGCGCTGAAGGTTTACGAAAGTCAGGCTGCTTTGCTTTCTCCATTCAAAACACAACGGCAACAACAACAACAGCGCAGAGCTATTTTACCCCGTCTCATGTGAATGCAGCTATAGGCTGTGTCAGGGTTAGGGGAGGAGAATGAGCTCAAAAATGTTCCTACCCCATCCATCATCCACCCACTGTTAATCTATGCATTTTGCAGCACTACTACTTTCTTGGAACTTCCACCAATGCCTTGTTGGCATGAGATGCAATTTTCCTCTCCTCTCAAAGTGGCTTGCCTTCGCTATTGAATCACAACGACACTTACTCAGCAGTTATTTTAAGGGATAAAGGAGGTTTAACAGGACTATGTAATGAGCATGTCTATGAGTTGTTTTACTGCCAAAGGTCTCCAACAGCCTCTCTAACAGCCTCTACTAAATGTTTACCCGCTCTTAGCCGTTGTCTGTTGATATGTTCCCTCCCCGGTGGTGACACAAAGATGATTAATACGCATGTTGCACCTACAGAAGGTGTGTGTGTCTGGCTTAAGAAAGGACCAAACACATACACAGAGTCACTTTGGGGGAACAGATAAAACATCAGGTAAGGAGCGAGGGATAAAGCAAATGAACATAAGAAGCGACGTCGGGAGGATACGGTGGCTCAACATAGCTTTGTTTTTTCTTTTTGTCTTTTATTGGCACAGTGAGAAGCCAGTTTCAGTGCATTACAGAAAGCGAGCAGATCCCAGAGCAGCAACACACAACCGAGCTGAGAGAGAATCACGACACCACCTCGAGGTTTTCACAGCTGAGAACATGCCCGCTGCTCGACGGTGTAACATCAATTCTTTAATAAGGTGCATGGCGAGAAGGCTCCATTGTCTAATTAGCTATTAATGACATGTCTGCCAGTGAGGACGGCTCGGCACGGCCAGCTGTATGTAACACTACTGAATGATAATTCTCAAAGCTCAGGAGAACATGCTAATCCGCTGCATAATTCATCACCGCTGAAGCCTACTTCTTCAGTCAGCTGATCAGTATTCATTCAACGTTTACTTTTTAGGGCTATTTAACTCGCATCTTTTCTCTTCTAAACACTCAGCTTCAACTCTCGTCTTGGTCTTAATGAAGTTTGAGTTATTAAAGGAGAGGTAGCGTGATGCTAGCTATCGTTGTCGCCGCTGGTTGTGGATGCTGCTGTGGGAAGCAACTTGAGTCTGTCAAGCCTTTTGTTTCACAGCATAGAGATACAAGTATTACCAAAAGAACCATGTTCCTGTCTGTTTGCTCTGATGTCCCTGCATGGGAGAGAGGCAAAGCAGTCGGTGGTTACACTTCACGTTCTAACTATGGCATTTAAACCCAAACAATCAAGACAAAGAGTCACTTACGTAGGCAGCAATGGTAGAAATCAGCATCTGCAGAGCGATAAAATACAGAACACACTTCACGTATCTAAGTACAAGCCTATAGCAAACTAAAATACAAGCTTAATATGCAGTTCCTTTTAGCTTCATCCGCCCTTATGTGTATGTTAATGTGTGTTTATTGAAATTGCTATAGCACAACACCTTGTTCACATCTTCGCATTGTCGGGTTGACAGATATTGGACGTCAGTTAGCCGTTTGTCCCTCTCCCCGGGTCACGTTAAGAGCGAGATCTTTGTTTCTGATGCTCTGGGGAGGCGGCAAGACCACAGAATGTAAAAAACGAAACAATGGACAAAGCTGTGAACAAGGCGTAATGACGATGTCTGATATCTAATATGCAACGTACTTCCTCGCCTGAGAAGGAGGTGCTGACACAGTGATGTTCCGAGAATGAGCTTTTGCCCATCTTCCTACTTCCTGTCAAAAAGATGACACTTCCTCCCAGCGATGTTGTTCGACTCAGCCGCAATAATCATAGCGCCAAGTCTGCCTCAAAATTGTGCTTAGGAGTTAATGTCCAAGAAGTGTTAAGGCTTTTCAAATCTCAATACCAGACATTTTTCTACGTTCTAATGAGCTATACCAATGAAGTCTAACAAGATGAATGATCAGATTTAAGAGCGGTATTAAAGGTTTATATATTCACAAATAAGCACAGTCAAGTCGATTTGAAATAAAGTAGAGAAATGGTAAAAATAATTGGCCTGGTATCGGTGTTTTTGCCCAACTCATACGATATGTTTTCAGTCAGAGAGGAAAGGTTCGCAAAGCACCTAACTACGGTTGATCGAACTTGCAAGATATGTCAATTTCTGAACTTCTAGTTACTTTGCTATGATAATGAATGTGTTTCCCAGTTCGGATCTTATTAAAACAGCTGCTGATATGTTGCTTTATGCAAAAAATACAGACTTTTCTGGAATCTTTCTCTATAAATTGATATGGAAAAAGGATTTTCACGGTCCAACACAACCATGTACTTCAATGCTCTGCGAACCTAGCCTCCTAACAGAGGCTCCGTGTATTCCTGTCATTGGGAGCCAGTAAGGATGAGGGGTTAGCATTAGCGGTAGCTGCAGTTAATGGAGCCACAGGGTAGCCATGGCTAGCAGGAGCGACGGGCCCAAGGTGGAGGCCAGGGAGGCGGCCAGGAGCCTGCCGTCGTTCACCAGCCTGAAGGAGATGACCTCCACCTTGAATCCGTCTTCGGTGGCCATGCAGCGGAAGACGCCATCCTTCAGGGGCGTTCTGACGGCCGGCCCCAGCACGCAGAAATCCCCGGAGAAGAGGCAGGGATAGTTCTTGACACAGTTGTCTTTCTCCCAGCGGTACGTAGCGTGGAAGGAGCGCACCGGGCACGGGAGAAAGATGGAGGTGTTGGACACCACCAGCACCTCTCTGGGAGAAGTGCGACGCTGCTTCAGAGCTGTAGGGACGGAAAATATATTCTTTATCCTTTCTTATTGCAAGCGTAAATGTTTATTGTACTTATCACCAATAAGCTGTACGAATTGTTCAGTTGTTGTTTTATAATATATTTCTCCACGATATCAGCTAATGACTAAGAGCTGTCAACGTTTTAGCATTAACGCTCGCAATAATCTGGAAACTTTAACGCATTAAAACAAAATGTATTAAAACACCTCACATGGAGTTGAAATACATATAATACTAGTATTTTAAACTTCTGATCAATCACAGAAAATGATTGGGAGGATCGTGTGATGCGATTACAATTTTGTATCGAATGAGAGCACTAAATAAAACACTTTGCTTCTCATCTTTAAGTAATATTTTCTGGAGTAAAGACATCGGTGACACAACTAGAAACACATGCCTTGTTAAAACCAGATCATGTTGGAGATAGCTGTCCCCACAGAGATGAGTCATTGAGGTTAACCTGGGTTTGGGGCTTTTAGGCATAGCAAGCCATCATGTAAAAAAAAAAATAGAAATCTCAGCCAGCAGGTTTTTGGACTCAATTATATGATAATCATCTTTTTAGTGAAGCTGCTGCAGAAAGATTCCTATGTTGGTTTAATTAAGATACAAAGAGAGAGTGTGATAAGGGCTCACCAGCAGCTTCCCCACAAACCGAAGAGTTGGACTGATCCAGGTTCTGAATAAGTGTCCTGTTGGAAAATAACAGAGAGGACAAATCAGCAGCAGTAAATAGTTTCACTGACAGCTTGTGAACCTCCACATCAACCTACTGTTCCCCGCAAATGAAAACATGCAGAGACAAATCATTCACGATGTCAGGGCGGACGCAACAAAGGAGTCAGAGGCTAATTACAGCACATGATTGATGTTCACAGTCGCTCCTAAAATTGGAAATGCACGACATTAATTAAAGCCAAGGTAATTTGCAGTGTTAACTCTACGTGCAACCTTTTGTGAATGTCATGTTTTTCGTTGAACTGCAGTGTCTTGATAATTAAAGCAAGTGTCATCACCTCCCTGTCAATGAGTGTCAGTCAGATCATGATGTGATTTTCTTTGCAGATTCATGCCTAACATCAGCCAGTGCTCACGAAAAATATCACTCGTCACCGGCTTGAGCTTCAATATCAGGGTGCATGTATTTATTAACCTTGCAAGAATGGAAGTAGTCATCACATACAGAGCTGCATGGGACACAATAGTTCCCCAAATAGTGTCCTTGACCAACCCAGTCTCACGGCATTTCGTGTTCACCAACACGATTTTTAATCTATTGATTCATGTTCACCAACACGATTTGCCCCTTTTTTTCGTGTTGCACAGCACGATTTTAAAAGCAATGTATTTCTACTGCCTGCAGCACGTCTTTTTCTCCGGTCGGGTCGTGGAAGACCGGAAGCTGTGTGGTTCATAAAAACATGTTCTTACTCAATATCAAGCCACAGTTATTGCTTTTATTTTAAATCGTATAATTTCGGACTTTTGTTGCCGTCTGTGAGGAAAATAAATGGGGCTCAGAGCCTCAGGATACTGAAATCTGTATTTTTAAATCTTTTTTTCCTTCTAATTTGTTATTCTTTTCAAAATAACACACTGTTATTTACTCACCAATAACACACAATTATCCTTGCTTTTATTTATTGGTTTAATTCCATAATCTCGGGCTTTTTTGGCGTCCGTCAGGAACTGAATTTCAAAATAAAAATAACCGGAAACAGACGTAGGCATTTCGAGCGATTACCCAAGATCCTCAGCTATGGTTTTAAGCTCGCTTATTGGATGTTTTAGCCGCAATGCATGCTGGGATTTGGTGTTTATATTATATGAAATCCGGAAAACATTTAAAAAGAATAAAATAATACTTAATTCCGAGCACTCTTGCTTTTCTCTTTGAAAGTCATCACATAACGGCATTGTAATACACGGTTCGGCTGCATTGTATATTACAGATCTGCCGTAGTTCTTTATTTATAGAGCCCTGATGAGAAGACCTTTGGAAAAACTGAGAAAATGCCGCCGAAACTGAATACTTGACGTGGATCATAAATATATTCAACAATTAAACAACATTTTCAATTTATCTTCACACAATACGTCTCCTTGCAGTATCAACACTAATTCGGCTGACTTTTACATTTGATCTAATTCACAGATAGGTTATATTTACACCATAACGGTGCACAGCTGATATAAAAGGACTGTAGTTTTTAAAGATATTACTGATTTTCTTTGAATGTAAGAATGTAAATACTGAGTCTGAAATAGTATAGCAATATGCTGTAAAATTATGTGAAAGCATGCATAAAACTACACATTTTCAGATGTTGTACGAAAACACAAGTGTCCTACACTAATAATACAAAGTTATTATGGCTGTGTGTACCTTGTGTGCACCTCCTAGTGGTTAAAGCATGTTTTGAATTATTTTTATATTTGATTAAAAACATATTAAGAGTACATACTTTCATAGGGGGAAAGTATAAATATAGAATATAAAAAATCAAGAAGATACTCTAAGTGATCTCTACAATAAAACAGTTTAGTGCAGAATGTACAAAGATATTAATAGGAGGAGGTGCAAAACAGAAAAACGAATGAACCTTTATTTAAACATTAAATAACAGATTAAGGTCTTCTTTTAAATAAGAAAAAAACTTTGGGGGTATCTATCTACAGATAAATATTAAGCCTGACAAAGTACTTAACGTCTAATATATTGCTTTCCTGCAATGTTAACTATGTTGAAGCACTTATTTTAACTGATATTATACATATGAATTATACTCTTATGTGTGTAGATATAATAAGAAATGTGCAGAATATGACAGTTTAATGGTGGAGGTACACACATATTGATAGATGTCTTGTAATGTACTGTTGAGGAACCTGTGACCCAAGTGTTTCATTAATTGCATAACTACACCGTAGTTGTGTATATGATATGTCAATAAACCTTTGAAAATCTTGAAAGGGATGTGCAAAATAGCCATAATATACAGTCTTTAATGAACTATTAGTAGAGAATAATGAGTAATGAATATACTTTATTACTCGTTTCCATTCATGTCAATTGCAGATACATGTTTAGTCTTCTCAAGCACCAACTATCAAATATCTCTCCTGATTGTTGGCACTTGACAATCACCGTACCTGAATTTTACTGTAACTAAAGTCTGATTTAAGGGTTGTTTATATTTCACATCATTAATCAGAATCTGCAAAGTAACTCAAATAAGTGTAGTGGAGTAAAAATACCAGGTTAACCTCTGAATTGTAGTGGAGTAGAATTACAAAGTAACAATGAGCTGTCATGTGGGTATTAATGCTGAGCATTATAGACACAAGCGATTTTCACCCATTTATTAATTATATGTTTTATATTTGATAACACCAATGTGTTTAATACTGGCAACTTCTAATTGTGGGAAAAACGAAAACGTTCAGTAGAGACGTCCCATAGAACATTTTGCGAAACACAATAGCCAGCATGTGTAGTTCTGGGGGGGCGTTCGATTCCAGTTTTGGATAGTCTGGCGTGGTTTCGTTCCATTTCACACAGCTGTTTGACGCTCTGCGTAACCTTACGGGGGACTGTAGTCCTAAACGATAGCTGGGGATTATGGGTAGTGTAGTGTCTTCGGCCATCCTAAACTCAGAAATGTTGACAATCGCAATGATGCTCGAAATGTCCCTTATAGGCCTACGTCTGTTTCCGGTTATTTTTATTTTGAAATTCAGTTCCTGACGGACGCCAAAAAAGCCCGAGATTATGGAATTAAACCAATAAATAAAAGCAAGGATAATTGTGTGTTATTGGTGAGTAACTAACAGTGTGTTATTTTGAAAAGAATAACGAATTAGAAGGAAAAACATATTAAAAAATACAGATTTCAGTATCCTGAGGCTCTGAGCCCCATTTATTTTCCTCACAGACGGCAACAAAAGTCCGAAATTATACGATTTAAAATAAAAGCAATAATTGTGGCTTGATATTGAGCAAGAACATGTTTTTATGAACCACACAGCTTCTGGTCTTCCTCGACCCGACCGGAGAAAAATACGTGCTGCAGGCAGTAGAAATACATTGCTTTTAAAATCGTGCTGTGCAACACGAAAAAAAGGGGCAAATCGTGTTGGTGAACATGAATCAATAGATTAAAAATCGTGTTGGTGAACACGAAATGCCGTGAGACTGGGTTGCCTTGACATGCTGATATACAAGAGAGTGTTACAGTCACAAGATGGAGGAATACCGGTTCAAAGCAGGCTTCAATGTTTACTTCAGATTAGCTAAAGCCTGTGTAAGTAATAAACATGACAGGCATATGTCTCTCTCCATAGAGGCTGAATCATCATGTTAATCACATAGCTATCATATGCCTCAAACAGTCCTGATGCTCTTCTAGGTAATCACACATCCTGTCATGTTCACAGCTACAGTTGGGATACCTTTGTTATCATGTGACTCTCATGTTGGAAGAGGACATTAAAAAAAATTAGAGCGCCAAAACAGACAATAGCTCAGCAGCGATGACATCATATCTCCTCTCACCCAGTGGTGATGTTGTATCCGGGCGGGATGGCAAGGCACCTCCTCCTCGCCCTGTCCCAGCCGCAGTAAGGATCCCGAGAAAGGATGCAATCCCTGCATGTGTCGCCATAGCGATTGCAGTCAGCCAGCGGCAGCCGTTGGACTTCCATCGCCGTGCCGACGTACATGTGACCCTAAGGAGGAAAACACGAAATAGACTGTGTGAGCACCACAACTGGAATAAATCAGTCACTGTTGTGCAGGGTATCATTCAAAACTGCTAACATTACCTACTGCGAATACAATGTTATTATAACATGTCTAATGTGTGGTCCTTCAATAGTGTTTTTTATCCATTCAATAGTGTCACAAGTTAGACACATCTATTATTGTTTGTTTGGTGGCTCATCTAAACTCTCCTGTCATTTCAGATCCCGCCTTCCTCCAGGTCCTTGTAATCAGCTCACTTCCCTCACCTGGTCTCCCCAGCCCTTCCCCTCACCTGTTACTCATTCCCTCATCACTCCACAGTGTTTATACCACCTCACTATCACTGGTCCTTTGACAGAGTGTCTTGTCGTTTCCGCCAAGCTCTCCAGTGAGTGTTGTTCTCTAGCCTAGATGTTTGTCCTGCCCGGTTTTTGATCCCTGCCTGCCTGTTTACGGATCTGGAGTTCCTGCCTGCTCCCTGTCTGGTTTTGACCCTGCCTGTCCCTGACCTGAATAAACTGAACATTGCTATACACTGGTTGTATCTGAGTCGTGCTATTGGGTTCTGATCTGTACCTGTGATCGTGACAAGAGTTTATAGATACTACTTCTATTTTATTGTATTTACTTGCACTATTTTATCTGTTTATTGTGTTGCTCTGTTAGAGGAGCCTGGGACCTAAGATTTGCATCGACATAAGCTGTAGCTGTGTATGAATGACAGCCTTGAATCTGTCTACTGTATATGTTCTACTGTTTAATTCTGCTTTAAATCTATTTTGAGATGTTTAAATGATGGTATTGTTTCTACTCTTTAATTTATACTTATGTGAAATGCCTTGTTTTGTTGTTTTCTATGCTGCTGCAATGCAAACATTTCACAATTTGGGGATCAATAAAGTACCTCTTATCTTGTCTTTATCTTAATGTTGTTGTATTATATAACAAGCTACTTCTCTTAGGATCTACACAGCTTTCCACTTTCCATAGCAATACTGCACATATTTGATTGTAATATTCTGAGTACTTTGCATACTGTACGTAGTTTCGTTTTTCATGTAAAAACGTTCTACATCCTAAAGCATTATAGTTTTTCTTAAATAGTTTTTTATAATTGTTGTATATATGTATTCCTTACTTCTTTAACATGTGTCTTTGCATGTGTAAACCTAAACCTGTTTCTGATTCTGAAATGAATAACATGATGTTTTCTGAGATTTGTAGTATTTGAAAAGGTAGCAGAGCCTCTGAAACAGCTTTTAAACACGGAACATCATCTATTCGCAGTGGCGAACCGTCAGGGTCTTCAAGGTATTCAGAGAGAGATAAAACAAAATCGATTTAATTATATAAATAAGATGTATATAAAATGAATAAATGAGAATGGTATCTGTGTTGTTGATCTGTAATATTACAGTGCTACGTTGATTTTTTTGTCCTTCTCGGACCATGCACTACGCATTTCAGTGGTTTTGTGTTAGAAAAGAAAGCAACCAATCAGATCTTGTTCTGGGTCTCTGGGTAGAATATCCTTCAACAAGGTATTCTACATCCTTGATCGAAGGCCCTGGCCGTTGCACTGAATGAGAGCGTACGTTTGGACTGACAGTTTGATCAACCAATCATATATTGATTTGTAGCAATGGGCGTATTATTTCAGAGTTCCCCTCGGTTCCAGGGTGTTCTAGAAGGCCCGCTAGTTCACTGGCTCGAGACAGAGGATCTAGATCAGTGCTTCTCAAAGTGTGGTCCGCATACCACTGGTGGTCCGTGAGCGCCCCCTAGTGGTCCGTGAGTATATTGGTAACATTTCACATTTGAAATAAATAAATACATTAAAGTTTTCCGTACTCTCACGGGAATATCTCCGCAATGGAACGAGCTTAAGTTTCACTTTCTATTGCATGATCAAGCCCAGGGCAACACCTTCGTCACACATGTTGTCACTTGTTTGTACCATTTTCAGGCGATTTATAATCTGTTCTAGAAAAACGATGTGTTTTGCACTTTGAATTGCCTTGTGTTGAAAAGTGCTATATAAATAAACTTGCCTTGCCTTGCCTTGGGATATTTGTGGAGTTGGGTGGTCCGCGAGTGTTTTTTTATTGGTTAAGTGGTCCTTGGTATGAAAAAGTTTGAGAAACACTGATCTAGATGAATGTGACGAAGCAATTCATGCCGTTTTATTGTTTTTAACGTTGAAATGACAAATGCAACAGGTGAAGAGGAAGTTGTTGCAGACTTGTTGTGAGTACCCTTTTCAAGACGAAAATTCAGTGAAAAGACGGACATTATAACGCCGGGGGGGGGGGCGGCGGCGGGGGGTGTGTGTGTCTACAGAAGGTCCAGTTGTGATGGCCACGGTTCGCCACTGTCTATTCGTATGAAATGACTAAATGAAAATGTAGTATTTTCAAAAGGCTAGTTTCAAACTATACATACATACATTATTCTCTGGGTAGAATATCCTTCAACAAGGTATTCTACATCCTTGATCGAATGCCCTGGCCGTTGCACTGAATGAGAGCGTACGTTTGGACTGACAGTTTGATCAACCAATCATATATTGATTTGTAGCCAATGGGCGTAATCTTTCAGAGTTCCCCTCGGTTCCAGGGTATTCTAGAAGGCCCGCTAGTTCACTGGAGAGAGACAGAGCATCTAGATCAGCGGTGTCAAACTCAATTTCATCGCGGGCCACATCAGCATTATGGTTGCACTCAAAGGGCCGGTTGTAACTTTAAGACTATATAAAAAAACATATGTAAATATTTAATATATGTAAACGTATGTATTATATTACATTATTGCCTCTGCATTGGATTATTATCGGATAGGGTAATAACTTCATAATTAACTACGTCTGAAAGCAGAAGTCTAGGGAAAATAATTGGAAGTCTCTTCAGTGAGAATGTCACAAAATGATTTTTTTTTAAAAAGCCAAATTGAAATTTTGAACAAAAAAGTCAAATTTTGAGAAAAAAGTCAAATTCTGAACAAAATTCAAATTAGAGATATATTGTGGGACATGTAGTTTATGGGCAACGTGCTTCTGTTAATTGGCATGTAACCGTATAATAAACGTATCATATTCTTTCAGAGCTCTTGTGGGGCCACATTAAATGAAGTCGCGGGCCGGATGTGGCCCCCGGGCCTTGAGTTTGACACCCCTGATCTAGATTAATGCGACGAAGCAATTCATGCCATTTTATTGTTTTTAACGTTGAAATGACAAGTGCAACAGGTGAAGATGAAGTTGTTGCGGAATTGTTGAGTACCCTTTTCAAGACGACAATTCAGTGAAAAGACGGACATTATAACGCCGGGGGGGGGGGTGCCTACAGAAGGTCCAGTTGTGATGGCCACGGTTCGCCACTGAAATGACTAAATTAAATGTAGTATTTTCAAAAGGCTAGTTTCAAACCTAATGGAAAAATAAACATCCATCCATTCAATGAAAAATAACTTGAAATGACCACGAGAAACTCAGCAAGAAATGTATAAAGATGTTTCCAATATTTGCTCTTCTATCCTTTTTCAGATTCGTTCTTTCTCCAATAGATTTGTCATTGGGTTTCCTCCTGGCTATACATGACTTGAATACAAGCCTCATTTAGTTGGAGTATTAAGTATGGAAAGTCGATCGAGGTTGCACTACAGCGACTATCTGACCAATCCACCGCTAATGAGAGCAATGGATTCTGAATAAAGACTCAAAAAGATGAAACACAGATTAATTAGATTGATTCTGAAAGCAGGAAGGCCACTGAAATCACACTCTACCAAAGGGTAATACATTATTCCTCATACCTTTTGGGAGTCGATAGCCATCTTAAGAATGGGGCCCTCGTTGTGAAACAGAGAGTACTGAGATATGATGAAGACCCCCCCGCTGGTGTGAAGAACCTTGAGAACTTTGCCTTGTTCTGTGGAAATAAAGAAACAGGAGAGATTGTAAATGGTGTCGAGGGGAAGGATTACAGGTCTTTCAAACTGCCCTGAAACATCACACACATACGAATAAACCCATGTGAGAATGTATGCATGTAGGTTTCCTGTCTTTTGCCTGAGCTGCAGATCCTTGTTGTGCTTTCCAAAGGATTCTATAAATACATGGATCTGTCTTGGACACCTTCCATTCTTAGGGTAGGCTGGAAGGCAACATGGTGGACTCGGGTTTTAGAGATGTCTTTGAACAGAGAATTAGTTGTACCTGTTTAACCTGAACCTCTTGTGATTTGAACACCAAACCAGTACCATAGAGTGAGTCTGTGTATCTGATTAAAGGATACGGTTAAGAGGTGGAGCTCTGCAGAACTCCTCGAACACATCCAGCAGTGAAAATCAAATCACTTTTGGATTTTGGGTCAATTTTGGATCAATCACAGCACTGCAAAGCCAAAGGTTGTTCCCCGCTGGAACTACGGTGCATCCAACGTCCGGAATGATTAATTATTGTTTTCTTTTCTCCATAGCATGCAGCGGATGAGTAATGCACGAAACAAATGAAAAGAGATACCTCTGGGGCCCAAGTGTTCCAGGTCTGCTGCATATCAAATGATTTTGTGCGAATAAAATGTGCTGTGAATTCTGTATGCACCACTAGAGCAGAATACCAACTGACATGATGTAAGCCGTGAGGTGGATTCAGCTTTATTCGAGCCCTGTGTCCACACCTAGCCTCCAGACACTCATTACCCTCACGGTTTTGTGCTTATATGTTGCTCATTTCTAAATTGAAACATGTTTAATTAAATTATTACCATGCAGGCTTGGGGCCAGGCAGAATGCAAGCGTAGAGACATATTCTACAAGAACAGACTGTGAGCAGGAGACACTGGAGAGGTCCTCAGATGATTAGGTTATCCTGGGTCTCGGGCTTTAAAGGGGACCTATTGTGCAAAATCCACTTGTTCATGTCTCTCCTACATCAACATGTGTCCCCTCTTCTTCATGTCTCTCCTACATCAACATGTGTCCCCTCTTCTTCATGTCTCTTCTACATCAACATGTGTCCCCTCTTCTTCATGTCTCTCCTACATCAACATGTGTCCCCTCTTCTTCATGTCTCTTCTACATCAACATGTGTCCCCTCTTCTTCATGTCTCTCCTACATCAACATGTGTCCCCTCTTCTTCATGTCTCTTCTACATCAACATGTGTCCCCTCTTCTTCATGTCTCTTCTACATCAACATGTGTCCCCTCTTCTTCATGTCTCTTCTACATCAACATGTGTCCCCTCTTCTTCATGTCTCTTCTACATCAACATGTGTCCCCTCTTCTTCATGTCTCTCCTACATCAACATGTGTCCCCTCTTCTTCATGTCTCTTCTACATCAACATGTGTTCCCCTCTTCTTCATGTCTCTCCTACATCAACATGTGTCTCCTCTTCTTCATGTCTCTTCTACATCAACATGTGTCCCCTCTTCTTCATGTCTCCTCTACATCAACATGTGTCCCCTCTTCTTCATGTCTCTTCTACATCAACATGTGTCCCCTCTTCTTCATGTCTCTTCTACATCAACATGTGTCCCCTCTTCTTCATGTCTCTTCTACATCAACATGTGTCCCCTCTTCTTCATGTCTCTTCTACATCAACATGTGTCCCCTCTTCTTCATGTCTCTTCTACATCAACATGTGTCCCCTCTTCTTCATGTCTCTTCTACATCACCATGTGTCCCCTCTTCTTCATGTCTCTTCTACATCAACATGTGTCCCCTCTTCTTCATGTCTCTTCTACATCAACATGTGTCCCCTCTTCTTCATGTCTCTTCTACATCAACATGTGTCCCCTCTTCTTCATGTCTCTTCTACATCAACATGTGTCCCCTCTTCTTCATGTCTCTTCTACATCACCATGTGTCCCCTCTGTGTAAAGAGACTCTGAAAGTTTCAGGAACAAAGATTCTCTCTCTTTTTGATCCATTTCTATAAAAACCTGTCTGAAAATGAACTGATCAGATTTTGGCCACTTGATGATGTCATAACGATGTTTTGTCTTGTGTAACCATTAGCCAATCAGCAACCAAGGTAACCCCCCCCCCCCCCCCCCCCCCTTATCACCTGAATCTCCTCCTAGAGCACCATTGAGTTATTTGTAACCAAATGTCTCTCAGAGGGGCGTGGGGAGGGGCTCCTTATTTTCATCTAAAGTAACAGACAGAGAATCAGCTCTTTGGAAACAGGGCTGAAGCAGAGGGGATTATGGGTAATGCTGCAATGATCTGTTTGGTGTTTCAGCCAATCAGAGACAGGCTCTGGATATATCTGAGACCTGTAATATATTGATGAAAAACAGTATGATAAGGGACCTTTAAAGCTACGCATGTGTTCACTCTGTCTCTTCCTAAAGCTTACCCTGCATTACTCTCTTTTGGTTGGCTTCCAAGCACATGAACCAACATCCCTGCACTGTTTTCATTTAAATGCTATTTTATTTCTATTGAGATATTTACATTTTGGAATGTTTATTTCTCGTCTTTTCATTGTTATTGTGCCAAATGTGCCAACTTGGGTTCAATAAAGCACTTCTCATCCTATCTTGTCTTATTTCTGATCTACCCACATCCTTGTTTGTTTTGGAACCAATGTCTTCTTCCTTGTCACATTCCCTGAGCAGTTTGTCACGTAGGAACGAACGAAAATATCTTGGTAATTGGGCATTGTGATGACAATGTCATGTGGGACGGTGTGTCATGCATCGAATCCATTCAGACATCTATTTGTTTTTCGTGGCTGACATTTAGTCGAACATGTACAAGCAGATGTGTGTGATCAGCAAGTGCAGTCAAGTGATCACCGCTGACAGAGGTTAGAACCACAGGATAGACCCTAACCCCAAAATACTTGTTGCCCCCAGAGGCTAAATTGTTGTCAGACCAATAGCTGATTGTGCTAACGGCTATTTATCCAATACTGTATGGTTATACAGTGTTCCTGAAACGACTAGCGGCTAGTAGCTAATCGTTAGCAACAACCAGGTGTTGCATGCCTGCACTCCAGTTTCTGCTATTATAAAGAAGAGAAGTCAATACATACAATAGATTGTTGGTTCATCAAGTCTATCTCTTCAGGTAAAAATAGCCTATTACTCGTCTTTTGGAACTTGTGTTAAAGTTATCAATATGGAGGAACATTTGTCAGCGTTGCACAAATGAACACAATACACCAAGTCTGTGTGAATGTATGCTCCGACTATCATTTGGTCCAAGTGAAGTCTAACTCATGAATATTGTTTCCTGTTTTCCAACTGTTAGAGCAGACTCCCAGGCCTGATGGGATGATACTTTTGCCAACATTTCACTGTCGTTGAATAGTTCTGTCTTGCATTTTAAAAATCCTTTGTGTCCATGTCGCTCCAAGCCAGAGGTCGCGATAACCGAATATTTTCCGTCTATGACGTTTTTTTTTAAACAATGACGGAAAAATCTGAAAGCCGTCGTCATTTTGACAGATTAGAACAAACTCAGAACAGCGCCAACGTTTCCGCGCCGCGAGGCTCCGGTGTTATTATGCCGTGTTATTATGCATGCCTTCCCAAAAGGAAATGATATCGTTTCCAAACCTAATTGCCGAACAGATCATTGAAATGTCTGTGAGTACAAGCTTTACGCTGCGCTCCCGCGAGGTGCAGTGGGCATGCATAACACGGCGCTAACAGTTCACGAGCGAGTGTGCGTGTGTGTGTCGGGAGAGTTGTGTACAGGCCCACGGGTTATAATGGATTTCGACGGAAATGTTACGATCCTGTCCGTCAAAATGACGGGCAGCGAAAAAGTCTAGCGCAACCTCTGCTCCAAGCCATTGCTCTCTTCACTGCAACAGGCAATAACACTCCTGGACAGCTAAGTGCAGCATCGCTCTCAGAGACCCAGACTCTCTGCTCAATATTTCTTCATTGCCTACCTTTTTGTTGCCGAGTCTAAGGAGATTTAATTCGACTAAAAGCCCATGAAAATGTTCTTCTACCTTTTACCATTTCCATTTCCCTAACTCATTTCCGCCAGACGATTCCAAATAAATCAACTATTTAAAGGCTCCCTGCAGAAAGATGTCTTTTTTCACGTCTGAGATTATTTTGCCTTCCCCACTGTGACAATGTGATTACAGTGAGACCTTTACATCTTCATTTCCTGCGTGCTCCCTCCATGACGCACCTTCAAACTTGTGATTAGGCCGCCAGCATGGAGCTGTCACTTACACTTATTTTGTCCTAAAACTGTCTCTTTTTCATAAACTTCAAATCTTTTTTGTTTCTTGTTGAAGTCAAAGATAACATTCCCCATTATATCTACTTTATTCTCATAGGATTCTTTATTCCTGTCTACAGCTATTTGCAGCTCGTTTATCAAAAACAAATAAAGATAGCGGCAAGAAATACTGACGGGGGGGAAAGGGTGTAAGTTTCTCCAGTTGCTTACAGTTATAATCTCAAAGCAGTGAAGGTTGGAAAGAAAGCCAAGAGTCAATATTCATGTTTCCATCTGGCATAAAGGTTCAAACTTGCCTTCCTTTTTGAACATATATTCTTCTCTTCCCTCTAAGTGCCGTCAGTCACATCCCAAAGTCCTATTTTCCCACCGCTTGGTTCACCATAACCTTTAAGCTACTGCCATCTCGCATGTCATACTGTGAAAGCAAATAGCTTCTGATCTCAAATATAAAGTCAACTTGAAAGTGTTTCATTCTGACATTTCCCTGAGGCGATCTTTTTGCTGTGTCGCCTCCATGTGTGAAAAAGTCTAAGCAGCTTCACGTCTTCTGGTGATCAATCTGTCACTGAAGGAAAACACGACTTTCACTTCTGCTTGTTCTTTTGTTTCAGCACTCACCAGTGATAGCCAGAGGAAACTGGAGCAACGGTCTACAACCTGTCATGCGTCCTTCGCAGCTCTTTAGGGTCCGGACACAACACACTTACAC